CTCTCACACACCGTCTCCAGAAGAACTTGCGGGGGGGCCTGAGGAGATGGGGCTGAAACACCTGCCATTCAAGCTGCTGCTTGGGGGGGGGGGGCTGCCTGGAGAGGAAGGGGAGGCCAGGGCAGAGCTCCAGGTGACAGGGAATCTCACCTGCCTGAGGTAGCTGATGGGTTTGGGCTCCCTCAGAAAACGGTAAAGGGGAGCCTGGAATCCCACCTCCTTTACATCCACCCCAGGTGCCTGACACAGCAGGTTTCTTCACCCCCCAGCTCCCTCCTCCAGAGAGCAAGAAGTGTACTGCTGCTTCAGGGGAGGTTGAAGGAATATAATGAGATGAAAAGAGGTGCTAGTGCAGGATGCGAAAATGCTACCTGCTGCCTAAATATTAAGTCCACCCCCTCTCCTCTCCCCATGCACACAAGTGGTGTCCAATAATGGCACTGCTGAACCACTCACCCGTCCCAGAGGGGGCCGCACACCCTTGTGGGCCCAGGAACCCCTCATTCATCAACTCAGATCTGCTTCTGCTGGCTCTTTCTTTCATTAACACCTGGCATGGCCCAGCCAGGGCTGCCCTGCCCTGCCCTGCCCTGCCCTGCCCAGGGGTCTCTGTCCTGGGTGTTGCTGGTCCTTCAGCTCCCTTTGTGAGAAGGGGGTTGATGAGCCTGGGTTACAGCCCCACATCCCATCTGGGCCAAGTACCTCTCCTCTGGGAGGTCTGGACCTTAAAGGTCATTCTGGTGAACATGGCCACCTGGGGGAGGGTGCCAAGGGCAGTCACACAGAACCAGCCTTTTCAGGACAGCGAATGGACAGAGGAGATGGTGCCCTGTGTTCTGCTCCCTACTACAGGACTGGCCTTGCCCATTGAAGGCAAAATGAAAGTGACCCAAAAGATGGCTCTAGTGGTTTTTAGCTCTGGGGATTTTTTAAAAGACCACGCGACTGCAGGGTGCAGCTTCCCAGAATTTTGAGCTCAGGCAATGGCTCAAATCCTCCCAGAGTCTTGGAGTGCCCTCTAGGGGCGACAGCCCAAACAGGCCTGAACCCAAGGGCTTCATTTGTGCCTGCCCTCAGTCCAGCCAGCTTGTTCCCGGGTTTGGTCATTCATTTGTTCACCCTTCATTCATAAGTTCATTCATTCATTCAGAAAGGAAGGACGTGGTGCCTCCTTTGGGCCAGGCCCATGCTAGAAACTATGCCCATAGATATGGTTTGAATGCAAGGCCTGCCCTCAAACCAGCTTTTACCAGTACCTGATATTCCTGGGATTACTAAAGGTATGGCTGAGGTCTCCAGACGCATCTCAGAAACCATGCTGCTGGTTACCAGTCCCCCCTGGCCAGGCTGTGAGGGTCCCCCACCAGACTCCCAGCTCTCAGGCCAGACTGGGAACTTCTTGAGAGCAAAGATAATCCCCTTGCTCTGGTGGCACTCAGTACAGTGGACTGGAAGCACTAGGATGGAATCTGTACCCAAATGGACCCACCCATAGAAGCAGAAATTCCATGTGCTAGGGCGGTAAATGAGATGACTTGTGGAAAAGGCCTAGATCTTCATAAACATGAATTGGCTCCTTCCCCTCACTCTCACTGCCTGGGGCTATAAGTTGATTCAAGAGTTATTTTGGGTTGTCCAGGTGAAGTGCCCTGCCCAGGTGTGCAGCCCTGATCCAGCTCCAGAGGCACCTGTGTCCCAGCCTGACCCTAGTGAGGGAGGCTGCAGGTCTAGGGGTTGCTGGGAGAATGACTCACCGGCCAGGAGTCAGCACTGACTCAGAAGGAAGAAGTCAGCTAAATGAGCACTATGCTCCAACTACAACAACATTATCTTTTTTAGAAACCTTTGTCTAACCCAAGGCTTTCCTGGGTTCATCTCTCCTAGAGCAAGGCCCGGAGAGGGTGTGTAGGGGCAGGAAGAGGTGGGAGGCAGCGACAGAATTGGAATCAGAAGAGTCCCTGCCCCTCCCTCAGGCTGGAAGAGGGAATCCCTGCTCTGTAATAGCTGCACCAGGAACGTGGGCAGCCCTGGGATGCTGCACAACTGTGTGTGGTCACTGTGCCCCCCCAATGGGAGCCCTCTGCCTTGGCATCCACCACAGAGCCTGGTCCCCACATGCCCATCTCTTCCCTGGGATGTGAGGACCACAGCCTGCTCAGAAAAAGGGGCAAGGCAATGCGCACTTGTGCACTTGTGCATATTTGCTTGCAAGCATGCATGTGTGTGGCGGGGGGGAGGGCTTCCTTCATTGCTTTGCCCATGACTGCATGAAGTTAAGCTGCTGCCCCCGGCCCACTATATGAATCAAAACATACAGTGAGCCCGGGAGTCAGTTTCCTCATCAGTGTTACAAAAAGCTTGAAGCTGATGCCATAAGGCCCCTTCCAAGTGTAACTGAGTCCTAAGGCTCTAAGATTCTGGAGCGGGGAGCTGTGGGGGAAGGGAAGGTCCCAAATCCCTTGGGAAATGCTTCCTCTAGTCAGCAGCGGAAACAGGGCCAGCCTTATATCTTTCCTTTCCCCTCACATCCAGGAGGCCAGGTCAGAGAGGACTGGTAAGGAATGAGAGCAGCTGCCCCTGAGAATTAGT